CCCACCCCATCCCAAATAAAAAACCATGGGTTGACTTAAATTGGTTGCTTCCAGCCCATTATTAGCTGAAAGCACTAGTCAATAAGAGACGGTGGAAAGTGGACAGTAGTAGCTTTAAACTTTTCTGGACACCAAAGTCTCGCACGTCTGGGATCTGTGATTGACAAATGAGGAAAAATGGGGGCTTGAGGAAAGGGAAGGTACAATATATAGAGGGTTTGTTCTTGAAATTCTATGATGCCATTACCAAAAGAATAACCAAAATTCTGATAACTGGACGATCAAATTTATTAACTAACTGTTTTGGCAATAAACTTTGGCCTGCATATGGAAGAAAATATAATAATGGAAAGGTATACAGAGGAAAATCTGGTAAATATTTGACAATTGTTTGGGAACCATTTCTCTTTGTTTTACCATGGAATAATGTCGAGAGATGCATCATTCTGCATGAAAGTTTCTGATATAAGCTAATACTTTGGAAATAAAAGTATATGCGTTAAAGGGGTATTTTCACCTTTGAGACTTAAATAAATCAAATTTAGGCATATCCATGACTAGATTCCAGGTATGTTCAAAATAATTATATCTGGATGCTGACCAGTTGTAATGTAGACCATTAGGGAAAACAACGGAGTTGGATCTTTTTCTGGTTAAGAAAAAGTGAAAAGAAGGGGAATAATTTCCCCATTTGTATGTCCTTGCAGGTATATGTGTGAGATCAGGAGAACCTCTAGTTTTAGATAACCCCCAATTGCTTTCATAAATTATTTATTATTTGCTGAAATAGACTTGAATTAAATTACCTAAGTGAAACATTGTTGAATAACTTGTCAGGAAAATTTATATTTTATGCCATTCTTTCATCTTACATTTGTACAGGTCAGATATAGTGGGGGGGCTTCTGTGCAGTTATATGTTCTTTTTAGCATCTCATGACTGGTTCGTTCTCNTTAGCATCTCATGACTGTTTCGTTCTTTTTTACAATTTCTTTGCTAAACAGGGAGTTTTGAAGGCACTAAACGTCAACAAACTGACTTCGGCTGGCTGCAAGGTGAAGATCTGGATTGCAGATTGGTTTGCGCAGCTAAATAACAAGATGGGTGGTGATCTGAAGAAAATTGAGGTTGTTGGTCAGTATTTGATTGAGATATGGAAGGCTGTGGGAATGAATCTTGAAGGGGGTCAAGTGGAATTTCTATGGTCTTCAAAAGAGATTAACTCTAGAGCTCATGAGTACTGGCCACTTGTTATGGACATAGCTCGAAGGAACAAGCTTCCCAGGATTTTAAGGTAAAGGATAAAGCAAGTAAAACTCTCTTGCTTCTCCTGAAAAGGACAGTCAGTGATTGCTTACATGTTTTTTTCCCCTTCATTATAAGGTGCTGCCAAATTATGGGTCGGTCTGAGCAAGATGAGTTGACGGCAGCCCAGATTTTTTACCCATGCATGCAATGTGCTGACATATTCTTCCTTAAGGTAAGCTGTTTTATAACTAACTATTTGTAAATAATTTCTTGTTCAGTTAGCTGGATAATTAAATATAAGCATCTTTTGTGAGACTTTATTGGGAATAATAGAGGCACCTTCACATGGTGTTGTAAGAAGTACTTGGAAGAGGTGATTAGGCAGGACATGGCGTTGCTTCAGCTCACCGAGGACATGACCTAGATAGGAAAGTGTGGAGGTCGAGAATTAGGGTTGAAGGTTGATAGGGAGCCGAGGGTGTCTCTTAGTGCTACCGATAGTATTAGTAATATTCTTATTTCCTGTTCCTAGACCTTTTTATTATATGTTGTTTCTTTCTTACTGATAGTATTAGTAATATTTTCTTATCTCTAGATATTTGTTAGTATACGTGAGTCCTTGTTTTCTTTTCTCTTCTTTTCTTGTTATTGTTATGGTTGGTTGCTTCCTTGTCACTGTTCCTTGAGCTAAGGGTCTATTGGAAACAACCTCTCTACCTTCACAAGGTAGGGGTAAGATCTGCATACACACTATCCTCTCTAAACCCCAATTGTGGGATTACACTGGGTTTATTGTTGTTGTACCTTCACGGTTATTCTTGTTTTAGGCATGCAAGTTACCCCTGTAATGTCACTGAACAATTTACTTCTTGCTTGTCTGGGTCAACACTGCAATGTCACTTGACAACCTGGTTCTTGCTTGTCTAGTTTACCAATTGAGTAAAACACGCATTTCAGTTGCTACTAGGCATATAGCTGGATTGCCTTGAGTTTCTAGTTTCAGTGGCATATGCTTCTTGATATGGACAGATATGAGAGCTGCATACATTAGTTTCATTTGTAGCCTGTATTTTTATGTGTGCTTGTCTTCAATCTTCCATGGTCTGTGCGGGAGTGGTAATTATTTGTTTAAATTATGATTCTACCAGCTAAATAAAAATTTTCTTGTTATTAGGCTGACATATGTCAACTAGGCATGGACCAACGGAAGGTTAATGTACTTGCAAGAGAGTACTGTGATGACATCAAGAGGAAAAACAAGCCTATCATATTGTCCCATCGTACGATAATCTTTTTGTATTCTAGAATTCATATTTTACTCAGCTAACTCTTTTGTTTGATATGTTTGTTCCCTTATGATTTTGGCGTGCAGATATGCTTCCTGGTTTGCAGGAAGGTCAAGAGAAGATGTCCAAGAGTGACCCCTCTTCTTCCATCTACATGGAGGATGAAGAGGTATCTAGCTATATATATTAATCACCTGTAACATAGTGCTACATTTGTTTTTAGGTTGATGGCCAGTGTTCATAGTAGATTTCTTAACAGGTGGTTTTGTTGCCTATGAGGTTCTAGTGTAGTGACAGTATTTTTTTTTCCTTGTGCCATGCTTGAACATCAAAGGCAGAAGTAAATCTCAAGATAAAGAAGGCTTTTTGTCCACCAAAGGTCGTAGAAAAGAATCCATGTCTGGAGTACATCAAGTATATCGTCCTCCCTTGGTTTAATGAATTCAAACTTGAGCGAAGTGCTGAGAATGGTGGTGACAAGTGAGTCATTTCATGCATTTCTCATATCCATTCAGCTGGTTTGTAAACACAGCACAATTTTTTAGCTCATCTTTTGGTTTGTTCTTTTTCCCACACTAGGACCTATAAGAATTTTGAAGAATTAGCGGCTGACTATGAAAGTGGGAACTTGCATCCTGCAGACCTGAAACCTGCATTGTCAAAAGCAATCAATAAGATATTACAGGTAGATGGCAACATCTTACTAAGCTGCTGGTAGTTGGTGTTTGTGCTAATCTCTTATGTAGTCCTTGTTTTTAGTATTACATTGATGCATTTGCTAATTTGCCTTTTTGTTTTGCATTGACATTTGACTCTGCATTTTGATATTCTACTAGTATTACTTTAGTAGCTTTAACATGAGAAGTACTCTTTTGATTGTTGGTCTTATTACCTGTAGTTCTTTGATATATACAACTAATTATAGCCCGTTTGGCCAAACTTCTAAAATCAGCTTATTTTGAAAAGTGCTTTTCTCAAAAGTACTTTTAAAAAAGTGCTTTTGGTGAGAAGTAGTTTGTGTTTGGCTAATTAATTAGAAAAGTACTTTTGAGCAGTAATTAGTGTTTGGCCAAATTTTTGAAAACTGCTTCTAAGTGTATTTTTCTCAAAAGTGCTTCTCAGAAAAGTGCTTTTGGAGAGAAGCTACTTTTTTTTGCTTCTCCAAAACTGCTTCTCCTCAAAAGCACTTTTTTTTTTCCTTCCAAAAGTTTGGTCAAACACCTCATTTTTTGGCCAAAAGTGCTTTTGGCCGAAAAAAACACTTTTAGCCCAAAAAAAGCTTGGCCAAACAGGCTATTAGCCCCAACACCCTATAGAATAACTTCTTTGTTTGTAGCGTATTTCATCTCTTTAGAGTATCTTTTAAATTTCAAGGTTCTTATTTTAAAGACTCAGTGTAATCAATCATATATGCAATTTAATATCAACAAATAGTAAATTAAGTTATTGCACACTTGATGGCTAGTACCTGGTGCGCTTCAGGTTGTATAGTTAATATCGAATAGACTACTGTCACAAATTGTTTTTATTTTTTTATAGTTCAATATATTTGTGACTCCACCTTTTTTAGTTGTCCTCCTGACTTAGTTTTCAATGTGGTGCAGCCGGTGCGCGATCATTTTAAGAATGATCAGAAAGCCAAAGACCTTATGAAAAGGGTGAAGGTATGTATTCTTGAATTGCCTAAATGTTATGTGTTGGATAAAATGTCTTATTGTGTTAGCTAGACTTTGTCACTTGAGCTCAGGGTACCATCATTTACTTTTCAAAAGAATTACAAAGGGGAATATATTTTCCTGATTCTACCTTGTCTAGAAAGTTCAACTACTGTTGGTTTGTTTAAGTTGCTCTATTTATCAGAATGAAGATTGTTTAAGTAGTTATTATGATTGAAGAATGGATTGTCGAAGTTTTTCCATGATTTTTGAGAAAAGTAATTCTACTTAGACCATCTTGAAGTTGTGGGTCGGGTTAATCCCCCTGTATCATTCTTTCAACACTTGAACTAAGCCATAAATGTTTTTTGTATTGATGGAGTTGAACAGGAGCTGAAATTATGGTGCTCTTGTCTCTTATCTCAGTTTTCTCCATCCTCAAACAAGAAGTACCCTCGTCTCTTTACTTTTCTTGACCCTCATGTCTTTTGCACCACCACCAACTTGTTGTCGTCCCGTATCTTTTTCACCTTTTGCCTCTCCACTTGATTGCTTTGCTGACTGAATTAGTGAGGCTTCTTGATACAAGAAAAGAGAAATCTGAATTATGGGCTGAGTTGGAGTCAGGCTTTACCCCTTTTCCAAGAGGGATGATTGATTGTCTAATCATATGGCTCAAATTGAATATATCGTATCTCCTAGACTATTGGGGTTGCATTTCTTCCAGTGCAAAACATACTATTTCTAATGAAAAAATGAATGATAAAGCGTACAATTCACATTAACACTGTTCCACATAGTCAAATCCACTCACACATTTTAGTCTAGTGTAGATATTCTGTTAGCAAGCTTAAAAGATTATTTGAAAATTGGACATTCAGAACAATAGCATTAGTATATCATTTTGTCGCCCGCCTTGACCATATTCAAGGGGCAAGTGTTCAAAACTAGTGTTATGGCATCTTTCTGATCTCAGTTTTGCTGTCTTCTGTTGTGCAGAGTTTCAAAGTAACGAGGTGAGGTCTAGTTGAATGAAATGACGTGGGTTAGGAGCTGGTGATGGCTGTCTGGAGGTTCCATCCCATTTTTCTCCTGTTTCAAAACCTTAATAGCTTGGTTTTCCAAGAGACGTTAACATCATAGACATTCACCATTTTGATCTAATATATCTTATTCTTGTGTTATTGAAATATCCGAATCATAAGACTGAATTTTGTAAACTGTGATTTCACAGAGGAAATGCCTCTGACACACTTGTTAGAATTTAGCAACATGGTCATTTCCAGATAGGAAGTAATGTCTTTATCAATTGCCTTGCCTATCTGCCAATTCTGCGCTAATTATGTGTGCACCTCTCTGGAGTAGGTTCATATATATTAAAATGATTAAAAATAAAAATAAACTAGAAGTGGCAGAAAAGGAGTTAAGTTGCTTTGCATTCAAAAGAGAAGGTGACATTTTGGTTCTTGCTTGAAAGCTCAAGAGGCCAATTTTGATTTTATCCTTAATTTTTTGTCTAATAATTGAGTAACTTTTTCTAGTTAAATATGATCCACGGAAATTCTGAAATTTGGCATCATCAGCGGCAACAGTTAATCTTTTTTTAATTATTTTAAAACTACCAAATAAACACAATTTCTGAAGATTTTTTTTTTGTTTTCGAAACAACAGGACTAACAATTTGTGAGTGAGTGAAAACAAGTAATTATTTCATCCGAAATATTCGGGAGAAATTTAAAAATAGTCAGATTTACAACTGGTTATTCAAAAATAGCCCAGTTTCAAAAGTAATCGAAATTTAGCTACTTTTCATGTAAAGATAAATCTGAGCGAAAACACTGTTCAAAACCCGGAAAATACGCCCGTATATTATACTGGAGTTTCAGGATAACTATGCTGGAACTCCAACATATTATACGAGAGTTCCAGCAGCATAAGTACACTAGAACTCCAGCATAATATACTGGAGTTCCAACAAGTATAAATATCTAGTATAATATACTGGAGTTTGGAGTACCGGTGCTCCAGTCTCCCGTATATTATACAGGAGTCAGCAAAGTATACCGGTCCAACATAATATGCTGGAGTTCGTACACAGATGCACCGAACTCCCGTATATTATGCGGGGCCGGTCACTGTTGTAGCAAAATAGTGACGATTTTTCATTAACTTCGTAAATGATGGCTATTTTTGAATGACCAATCCGAAAATTGGTTATACCGTGCTATTTTAACGAAATATTCATATGTAACTTCAACTACAAATATTGAAGTACAATATTTGTAAATGCTCATAATCGAAGTAGTATATGCAAAATTGCAAATAATGAATTTCACAAGCCTTTGGTAGACATTTGGGAAAAAATTGAGTGGAGGTTAAAAACAATAGCATTTGGTGAGAAGTTTTATTGTGTATCTCACACAACTTTCATTAGTTGTGTGAGGCTCTTTTTTGTCTCACAAATTTGTGGATTCCAATCTTACACTTCTGGGTCCACATAAATCTGGGTCCACAAAATTGAGAGACAAAAAAATTGCCTCATACAACTAGTATCAGTTGTATAAAATTTTCCGCATTTAGTCAAGCTGCAAATAACTTTTCGACCATCAACATTATAGTGAAATGAATAGAATTCCTTTATTGCGTATTGGAGCGCTTTCTTTTTTACTAAATCTTATATCGAGGGAAGGAAAAAATCGTAGTTGGAATACAATAATTAGAATCCCAACGGGAATAATAAAAAAGAACTTTAGGACATAAGGAGTCACCATAGAATGTGGTTGAAAAGAGAAGGTACCCACCCCATCAACATCATTGATCATTGATAACCACACAACGGCCTAAATAAGAGCGCAATTATGAGACCTACGAAAAGCTGCTAGAAAATGGGGGCATAATTCCCCCATATACGGGTTGACCCGGCCCGAATCCCGAGCCCGAACCCCGCATACACTGTGTTTGCACGACCATTTTAGAAGTCTCTCCAGTCTTAGCTAAACGTGCACGTTTCTGACTTTTGAGACTCTAGCCACATTGGATCCTTCAACCCAAGAAAGTTTTCAGCTAAATTTCTTAGCTCTTGTTTGCTTCACTTCCCGAGGTATCCTCCCGGTTACATTTCTGAGTACTTGTTTACTTCAAGAATTTGTGTTTGTGTTCTTGAATTCGAGGTCAATGGCTCTTTCTTTTAGTATACAAGTGGACTGTTTATTAGGTTACTGAATTGGGTGTTTAAATTAGGAAAAAGGAAGTAGCTTGTTTCTCATAATAACTATGTGTTTCTGAACTGAATAATGTACCATAGTTGTTTCTTAAAGCCACATTGAGCTAAAAAGCTTGAACTTTCTGTTTAAGTTCTTGTAGTTATTTTACATCAAGGTTTACTTTCTGATGAGTTTATTGCAAGTGTAGAGCTCTCCCTTTTAGTTTTAGCTAACACAACAACTTTTTGTTCATGTTTTACAGGATAATAGAGGCAGTTAGGTCTTTAATCCCATTTGGGTTGATTGCCATTTTGATGCCTAGTAATATTGGAGTTCTGTATTAATTAGTGGATCTTATTAGTAATTGTACTCTGTTGCCTGCAACCTCATTAATGTTCAAATGGCTGATGATTTTGGAAAGCAACCAAGGCACCGTAATCTAACCCCGTTGAGGATGGTAAGGGGTATCTTCTGTCTAATTATGTTAGTACTCTCTGCATTTATACTGTTAGTGTTCTTTGGCTTTTGGCCTGCTATTGGCATGCGAACTATCAATGTCCATTATAGCAGAGTGGGAATATCCTTTGTTTTCGGATGTTGGTTAGCTTTGTGGCCTTTTTGGTTTGAAAAAATTAACAAAACCAAGGTGGTGATCTCTGGAGATTCTGTTCCATCCGCAAAGCGAGTCTTGGTTATTGCAAACCATCGAACTGAGGTTGATTGGATGTACTTGTGGGATCTTGCTTTGCGCAAAGGATGTGTGGGTTCGCTCAGGTATATACTTAAGAGCAGTTTGATGAGATTGCCAGTGTTTGGATGGGTTTTTCATGTCATGGAGTTCATACCTGTTGAGAGAAAATGGGATGCTGATGCATTGAAGCTGCGTCAGATGCTCGGGACCTATCAAGATCCTCAAGATCCACTGTGGCTTGTTGTTTTCCCGGAAGGCACTGATTTCACGTATGTTTTTACTTTCGAATTCTACGTATATGTACGTGGGATTGTGTGTCCTTGTGGCATGATAATTAGTGCATTTCCTCTTTAGTACTAGCGTTAATTAATTGAAGTTAGCGGCTTCGTTGCTTTAATACAGAGAACAGAAGTGCATCCGTAGTCAAAAATATGCTTCTGAAAACGGATTGCCAATTCTGAAGAACGTACTTCTTCCAAAGACAAAAGGTTTTTGTGCTTGTTTGGAGGAGCTGAGAGGTACCCTGGATGCAGGTAGCACTTCTTTTACCTTCTTCCTTGTGTAATTATTTGGACGATGTTAGTAATTAGTTTTCCTGTTTTTAGCCTTCCATAATGTAGGAATACTATTTTCTGATACTAAATTGGATTACTTTAGTGGCCTAAGTTCTCTATTTACTCTTGAGTATGGATTCCATATCTTCATTATCCAATATCGTTCCTCCATGTTCTCACCCAGATGATGCAACTTACAAGTATTTGCTATTACTTCCTCATTTGTCTTGCCTAAACAATGAGAGGCATTTAGCGGATTCATTTAGATGGAGTCTGCTTGTGAACTAAATTTGATGGCAGTACAGTAATTAATTGCCTTCAGATATGGCTGTGTTTTGTTGCATTTGGTTATCAGTAGTATTATGAGGAGGAAAAGGGGATAGAGGGAGAGATGACTTTGTCCTTGATTGTTGTGGTTTCCGGGACATCTGATATTCTTTTAGCAAGCCAGATTGCATCTGCCACAGGTATAACATTAGAGGTAGAATATGAGTCATGCTTCCCCCTTCTGAAGTTAGAATGTGCTCATCTTAATACATGGATATTCTTGGGACTCGGAGGTGGACTCGTGTATTATAGGCCTGTCAGTTGTCATGTCAAAGCTGACCGTGGTGGACAAGGATGTCTGATGTGGATAGATCTATTCTCTGCTGTTTCCTTTTCCTCCTGATGTATGTGCCATTAGTGCCTCACATATAAAAATAGAAGTTCTTTTCCTTTTAGATATGACTAGTCGCTGTCCAATTGAGTGGGAGCAGAGTACTGTCGAGCACAGATGCCTGTCTTATTATCTATACCAATATACCATTCTTTTAGTTGCAGAAACATTAGAATGAGAGCATATCCGAATATATGATTTATTCATTATGGTCATGCATTATTGATTTTAGTATCATCATTAAAATTCAAATTAAATAGAGGTTCTTCATACTGTTCTTTCTCAAGTATACTTTCATTTGGTTGCTAGCTCATTATAACTAGGTGTGCCTCAAGTTATAACATCCTAAAAAGAAAATAATAGAGTAATCGCAAAGATTATCAGGACTTATTAAGCTTAGTTTAGATGCTTTAAAGATGTCACAGTTTCCATAATTTTCCAATTAGGCTTCTTTTGACTGTCTGTTTCGTGCTCTTTCAGTTTATGACATCACAATTGGCTACAAGCATCATTGCCCTTCTTTTTTGGACAATGCCTTTGGGGTTGATCCAGCTGAAGTACATATGCACGTCCGCTGTATTTCTGTTGCCGATATACCAGCATCTGAAAATGAGGCTGCTTCATGGTTGATGGATACATTCTGTGACAAGGATGAATTGTTGTCGGATTTTCATTCACAAGGTCATTTCCCTCGCGAAGGAATAGAAAGTGAGCTGTCTACGGCCAAGTGTTTAGCAAACTTCATCTTTGTGATGACATTGACTGCGATTTGTACTTATCTGACTCTATTTTCTTCCATTTGGTTCAAGATATATGTTTCCTCTGTCTGTGCATTCTTGGCAACAGCTACATACTTCAATTTTCGGCCTTCGCCCATTGTATCTTTATGAATGCAGTCGCCTTTCAAGATTTGAGATAAGCGAGCCTTAATTTGGCACAACTTTCTCTGTTCTGTGAAATTCATTTTCTGTTGCGATCCCTTTAATTCCTTTTCTATATCATACATCAGGCTCTACTATTTTTGTGATTATGTCTTAATGTTCAGTTATTGGTTGACATTCTCATAGAATGTGCCAAGGAATTATTCACATTTGGTAATGGTAGATATCTCCACACACGCGTGCACACACACACACAAAAAAAGATACCCCTCATTTCTCAAGCAAAGTTTTGATATTGTAAAGCAATAAGCTGGAATTTTCC